AGGTTCAGTTATTTTTATAACATTTACCAATATGTTTATATCTTCAGGTGACAGGAGTTGTGGGACGCGCTGATGTACTGGCATGTTTGTTGTTCCTTCTTTCATTTCTAGCATTTGTAAGGTGAATTTTTTTTTACAAAAGCCTCTGTGATGCAATATTGAAATCTTTTTTATTCTGGCTGATTCCAATTTCAGGTTGTAGGTAATTTTTAATTTGCACCCTTTTCTAGGTCTGTAGGAAACAAAGGCTGTTGGCAGATAATGTACACAATTATTTACATGGTTCTTGGTGCCATTGCTATGCTGGTAAAGGAGCATGGCATAACTGTGTTTGGTGTATGCTTTGTATATGATTGTATGGTTATTAACAAGAATTTGATTTGGAGGTAAGTGATGTCTCGATCATACCATCATATGCCAGGTTCTTTTTTTTTTTTTTTAGACCTGTTTTGTTACTTTTCTTTTAAAAACATGGCAATCGTATCATGTTAATCAAGTAGACTCCATGTTGCTGTGTATCTTTTCAATAATAGATCACAGATGATTCCAAAATGCAGTAAGAACTATACAGTGGCACATTTTGATGTCTTCTGTGATCTATACTGTAAAGACCCACTGCAACATGGAATATTTGTTTTATGTAATGAAAAGGCAAAAGGTTATTAATCTTGACATCATCTATGTGTCTGTCCTCCAATAGATCATGAAGATCAAATTGCTTATATAATTCAGTTTATCATTTAAATTACATTGGAACTTCTGTGTACTGTTGCCTTACTTGCCAAGTGCAAAAAGAACTGTGAAAGATTACATGGTGTTGGAGTTACGGTGTAGGTGACATTAAATGCCTTCAAAATGTTCTTTACCCTTTAACTCCCAAGATCTCATTATTCTCCTTACTATCTGCCAAGCAATTCTCATTATGTAAGTTTGGAGAATTTGATATTGGACAATTAGTAATCTCATAATTGATATTTTTCTTTATTCTCATCACTTGTCTGCATGATTTTGTATAGATATAGTTAGGAGAAATTCTGTCTTGGTCACTCACAGGAGTTAAAGGGTTAAGAGGAAATAGCCTGGACCTCAAGTTGATAGAAAGATCAAGAAAAAGCAATTTTTAGTGATTAAGGCCCTTTAGAAGTTATTTCATTAAACAAGTGAATTTTCTTTTCAGGAGTATTGTTTGTAATTTGTATGTTTCAAATCTTTGTTCAACTATCTTTTAGTAAGTTTCTGTGAAGTAACAACAGCACATGTTTCTGTTTGACTGTGTTGACCTGCAGAGTCATCAGAGAAAGAACTGTGTCAGTGGAAAAGGACGTTACGGCATTGAAGCGTCTTCTATTACGAACACTTGTTCTCTCTGTATCTGTAAGTGTGAGGTAAACTTGTTTTTAAAAAGCATCATTGTGATTAGACAGTTTGGAAGCCTTTATTTAGGATTTATAGTGCCGTGGGGATTTCGAGAACAAAAAGTAAACAACCTTTGTAATTATGTTATTGGGGAATTGAAGGTACACGATGAAAAATGTTATTAGCGGTTTGTAGTTTGCACAATTGGCCCCAGAATCCTGGGCGTAAAATCTGACGTAAAGAAACAATATCCCAAAAACCTATTTTAGTCACTACACTTCGTTTTAAACGAAGCTTCATGTTGTATTTGACACACCCAAGAGACTTAGCATAACACAATCCCTAGTAAGTGATTGAAATCAGTTAACACAGCAGTTTTTACAGGGATAGAAATTTTGGAGAAGACTTTCTTGTTAAAATTCCTTTCCTTCCCTTCCTCTTCCTCATCGTCATCGCCATCGTCATCCACATCATCATCACGAGCACTACATTTGACGTTTTCCTCTTCATCGATGCCGCTTCAAAGGTCGATGTATAAGTTATGTTCTTAATTCCGGCTGTTCCATACAACTCTCTTTTAGAAATTTCATAAAATGATCGCTGGCGAAATTGTCGCGGAAATTTTGCAATCGCTGCCCCGGGTACACTACGAGATATCTGCCGATCGTTGCGCCTGCGCCGCGTCGGGGTATGAAATCGTTAAGTGTGGCACCGGCTTATGGGCGAATACACGTAATTAGATGGAGAACCGCATCAGATGACTAAAACCTATTCACCTATAAAGGAAAAAAGGCAACATTCAGTGTTCATTTAACAATTGGTTCTCTGTTACCGCACGTGCGTTCAGTTACAGATCGATCGTTCGATCGAACTTACAAAAAAGAAGTAAATTGTCAAGTTTGAATGCAGATACTTTTATACCGACCTAGAGCAAGATATTTAATTTTTGCTTGTTGAAAGAGGAGAAGAGTCACCAATCTTGGAAATTAAGCATGCCCAACATGATAATTTATAGCCAATCAGAATTAGTAACCCTAAAGAAATGTTCTTTCCTTCTTGCGTTTTAACGTGGGTGAAACCTCAGACCTTGCGCCTCGTAAAGGCCTAATTCGCCTCAGAGTTAACATCCTTTCCTACTCGATTTACTGACTTGAAGCAAACCTGGATGTTGTTTTTTTCCGCCACAGGTTTTTTGTCTAATGGCATTCAGAGTATGGATGCTTGGAGGAAATCTGCCTCATTTTACAATTCAGGACAACCCTGCGTCATTTTCAGATTCTCTCAGTACTCGCGTTATGACTTACTCATATCTGGTTGCGTTCAACTCTTGGCTGCTTTTGTCGCCAAGTGTGTTGAGCTATGATTGGCAGATGGGAAGCATACCCCTTGTGGAATCGCCGCTGGATTCCCGAAACTTAGGCACACTGATGTTTGCCATGATAGCTGTTCTTCTGGTTTATTTTGCTGTGTTCTCCAATAAGATCCTGGTAAACAGTGGTTTCTACATACATCTGCGTTTAGCTTACAATCATAAATTTTGTTGAAAATGATCTGGGACCTTCAGTTCATTACATGTGTATTTGATTCTATTCAGTTTCCTTTGCATTGTATTCATTATTGCAATCCGAGAAAGCAAAGGGAGATAAAAAAACTAACCGGTTTGAACAAAGCAAACAAACAAACACACAAAAGCAAAAAACAGATTGAAAAATATTGAGCCACAGCATTTATATATGCATGTAATGTAATTGTCGTTTAAGGGTAACGACTCAGTAGTTGATGATAGAGCATCTTTTAAATTCTATATTTGTCTCGGTAGCCACGTGATCAAGATGTCCTCGTTTTGTCTCTGGCCATATTGGCTATTCCATTCCTTCCGGCTTCTAACCTGTTCTTCAGAGTTGGATTTGTTGTTGCTGAGAGAATACTTTACATACCAAGGTATACTGTGAAATGTTACAGTGAGTATTTCATCTGGAAGATAAACTTGTCTCGAAATCCTGACCGGAATTAACGTCTTTTGATTTGATGCCGGCGAAGTGACGTGTGTTGACGTGACTTCACGCGACGGGATTTGACTTTTCGTGACTTGGCGTGACTTGATTTGTTCATGTGACTCGACGGCGTTCTGGACACAAAAAGGGTCATCTTGTCTAAGGATAATATACTTTAAAGTAATCGGAAACTCTGATTGGTAAAAGAATTTTGAAATTTTTACCTCAGCAAGATGTATTTGCAGTGATGTTGACAAATCTCTGCCCTCTCTTATCCTGTAGCATGGGGTTTTGTATGCTTGTTGTTTGTGGACTCAACAAACTGGCATCGGTAGTGGCACCAAATGGTAAAGTGGCATTCAAAGATAAATTTACAGAAGCACGAATGAATGTCCAGCAAAAAGTCTTACTATCAGGGGTATTTGTGATGGTGGGACTTTTCTGCTGGAAAACTGTGGTACGGAATCGTGTATGGAGCAATAGGGAGACGCTATTTAGGTAAGATTTTTAGATCTACAAATGTAGGGTGATTCATGTCAAGCGATCTGTTGCTGCAATGTTTCTCAAGTACGCTTCTTGTGTACTTCCTTTAAAAAAAGTCCCAGCGAACAAACGTTCGAGTTCACTTCATCTTGAATTAGAGTGACGTGTTTCGAAAACAAATTCTCTCGCCGAGACAGAGTTTTTTTCCATGAGTTCTTGTCACAAATAGCGAATTGCCCTGGTGCTTTATGTCATAGCAACTTGTTTCTCAGAGTGTGGTTATTTTTACATTGGAACAAGCTAGAAAGAGGAGACCCAACATTTCTTTAAAATAAGTTAAAGAGAGAAAAAAAATTGGAATTTTGCTAAGTTCTCCTTACTTTGAAACACAAATTATGTGGTTTTGGCCTTGAAAGATGTGGAGTTTTCATTTCGTAATGGCGTTTGTTGCTGTGTTTGTCAGGCACGAGACTGTCAGGAATCATGTAGAACTTTGTCCCGGTCATAAATACTTATTATAGATACGCCATGCATCATGGTTACTGCATTTTCGTAATGCATCATGGTTACGCTAGGAGTCTGAAGTTCACTAACGTTTAGTTCTTTTCCCTGTTTTTTTTTTTTTTTTTCAGGTCGGGAATTGAAACTCTTCCTCATAATGCTAAAGCACATTACAACTTTGCCAATTTTCTAAAAGATACTGGAAGGGCTAAAGAGGCCATATATCACTATGAAACTGCGCTAAAGTGAGTGTCAACCCTTCTTTGACCAGTGTTTAGGGTCTAAATATCTTGTGGCAATGAGAGAAGCTAAAGTTGAATTTTTCCACATGAAAATCAACCAAAAGTCTGTCTAACAGCGCACACAAATGACGTGTAATGTCCATCTGCTTACCTGTGTCAGTTGAGATTGATCTTATGTTAGTAATGTGGAAATAAATCAAGTAAAACAAATTAAGGGATGGAACGACCATCTGTTTTTGCTCCATCAGGTTGGCACCAAATCATGTCAGCGCTCATAACAATCTGGGTACCCTTTTGGAAAACGATCAGGTAGAGGTGTGCTTATGAAAGCCTTTCAAGCATTCGTCGTCTAATTATTATCCTCTTATTTTCTATTCGTTCTCCTGGGACACTTGCCAACAATTTGTTGATCACGTAGCTACGGATTCTATGGCGTGAATCTAGTAGGAATATAGGAATATTTTTACCCTTTCTGGATGAGATTCCTGTTGTTCCCACGTTATCCCCCCTTCCCCCCTCCCCTAGGCTGGTGTCCAGTTCTACTCCTGGGAGGAGAGAGGCACTGTGAGTGGCACTGTTTAGTCTTCCGCACGAATACAACACAATGACCTTCGCCAGAAGCCATCGTCTGGTGCACCAGTTGCCCTTTCATCCGAACATCAGCATACATATTCTACATACTGTTCTTCATACATTTTCTAAAGAACTGACCTGGAGAATCAATTTAAGAATCAACAACTTTTCTTTTTGTTGCTGATCATTTCCTTTATTCTCGTGACCTTAATGTTTGATTCTGGGATAATACTGTAAGGAGAAATTAGATACTAGTCACTCTTAGGGGTTAAAGGGTTAAACCGCCTTATTCTTACCCTTCTTGTTGTGCTGAAGTTTTTTTCATTTTTTTTTTTTTCTACACTTAGGAAGCCATGCAGCACTTTTCTGAAGCCATCAAGAATGATCCATATCATGCAAACTCGTACTTCAATCTTGGAACTCGCTTGGCGTAAGTAGATTTAATTCACTTTTTATCTGGAGGGGTCTTCAAGTAGATCTCGTCTCTAATTCGGCGGATAGTGGCCCTTTAAATTCAGCAAATGATTTATGTTACTGATTGAGTGGGTTTCCGAGTATGTATGTCGGTTTCTCTGTCTGCTTAACTTTATTGTCCTTGTGAGTATCCGTCTGTCTGTCTGTTTGTCTGTCTGTGTGTCTGTCCGTCTTTTGTCTGTCTGTCTGTCTATCCACTCCTACGCCCGCCTACCTACCCATTTGTCTGTGCGTCCATCAGTCTGCCTTTCTGATTGGCAAGGCTATGATATGTGATTTGAAGTTTTGAACAGCGCCATATTTACAGACCATGTAAATCACATCCTTTTCTTTTTTTAAGGTCATTAAAGCGTCTCTCTGAAGCCGAAGCAATGCTTAAAAAGGCCATCAGGTAAAGGAGAGAAACACTCGTCCACTCAAAGATTTCGTTAATAAACACCTATTTCCTGCACGAAAGAAAAATCTTTTCAAATATATATTTTTTACAAGCTTTAAAATTCTGATAATTCCAGTTTCAAGTAACTAGTTTTGAAAATAATCCTTTTTTTTTAGGTTTAATCCAAGTTATTTAGATGCAGTGTTAAACGTGGCTGGTGTGCTCATTGAACAAGAGAAATTTGATGAAGCTGAGGAGTTTTACAAGAAAGCGCTGACTTTAGAGCCCAGAAACGGCGATGCTTACAACAATTATGCCGTATATCTTGGAAAAATTGGTGAGGAATAGGTGGCAGTAATTGATAAATGTGCAAGCTGGCCATGTTTAATGAGTGACCATATATATATAATCAGAATACCACAGTTTAGTTTTGCAACTGGGCACGGTTGGTTTCCAAATCGAACTAGAGAGATTTTCGTGTCTGTAATATTACGAATCAAAGCTAATATATTAAAACAGCTACATGAAAATGAATTCAAAGAAGTCTCCCACTAACATTCAAAGAATGTGTATTCCGCTTGAAAGACTTGACAGTTCTGGTTCACGGTTCAAATTCCTCATACTCGGGCACTGTTGCCGGAAAAGGGGGAGGGGCAAGGCTTCGAAATGATCGGCCTATGAGTTTGTTGTTCATATTCCTTGTCCCGCATTTGAGGTTTTTCTCAATGCTCTCGGTTTTCCCCAAAATTTGACTTGGTAACAGTGGACAAAGAGCCATCTCGTTAATTTGCAACTCTTAAAATCCAATTTATTTCATTTCTTTATTTATTTGTGCATTATAAAATTCTTTTGTTAGTCTTGGTTATATTATAAACGTAATATAGTGTGGGCAGGTACACTTATAAGAATTGCACCACCTTATGTAAAGGAAATTCTCTCTATCATGGCCAGACTTTGATATATTTTATATCTTATTTTGCTCTGTTAGGTCGGACAAAAGAAGCCTGGGAGAATTACAACAAAGCTCTACAGCTCAACCCTACTCACACAGTGGCGATGGTGAACATGGCTCGGCAGTTACGTGCAGAAGGAAAAATTCGGGATGCAGAAATAACTTACAAGAGGTTTGCACTGACATGCATCAATTTCATATAATTCCAATCGCATTTGAATTGTAGACAACAGGTACAGACCTTCTGAGTGCAGTGTATCTAAAATTTCATATCACCGCACAGAAATGCAAACATTTTGAAAGGTGCAAAGTGTTCTTTATACTGTGTGGAATATCGGACAATTCAGTGTGAGTGGTAGCATTTTATTCGGACATCATCTTTAATTCTGTGTCAAAAGAATCAGCATCCTGTCTCGTTGATTTGTTTGTTCCCAATCTCTTCTCGTCTAAAGCTTTCGAACCATATGGAGGGAATAAAAAGCTCCCCCAGCTGTCTATGTATTGATTGAATAACAGGCTCTTAGCATTCCAAAAAAAACATGCTTGTATTCCTCATTCGTAGAAACGTTAGATATGCTGACATACAATTATAAGTTCACTTTTTTCCTATGTGTAAAGTTCTAATCTCTAGGCTCGATTTCCGCTGGCAGTCCAATTGCGTTCTCTGATACTTCCTTCGAAGAGGAGTGCGGACTTATATCCCGAACAGCGGCCGGTAATCTAACCTATCTAATTTCAGGCCTCTTTATTTCTGCAGAGCTCTGTCAATACGACGAGACCCAAGTACGTTACAGTTGCTTGGAGTACTGTATTATCACAACCAGCAGCTAAAAGAAGCAGAACTGGCTTGGAAAGAATCAATAGAACTGGAACCAACGAATATTGAAACTCGCTCGAACTATGTGAGTGAAATGTTAACTTCGTGAGAGAGGCACTGACCAGTTTAGGTTTGCCTCATTATTGTGCACTTCTAATTTCGTGATGTGAATTTACCTGAATTGCTCACGATACTGTGTTGTGTACTCGACATTTTTTCTGTTTCTTATGGTGTTGTGTTTGGGACTTTATGCAGTTTGTTACAGTATGTAGATTTACGTTAATGGTATATCAACTTCTTCCTCTTTTTTTAACCTAAAAATTCAAATTGCGAGCTTTCGCAGTTGAAGGTAATTTTTATTACTACCAATTGGCGGGAAAATTATTTCAATATGCAAAAAAATTTCCAAGTTTGTTTCATTCTTTCTGCAGGCAATTCTTCTCGGACAAACCAACCGGCTCGATCAGGCCATGGGTATTATGATGGGCCTGGTGCAAGACGATCCTAATAATCCAGGACACTACAAGACACTAGCAGGAATGTATGCTCAGAACAGACAATTGGATGAAGTAAGTTGCTTGAGGACGCTTTCGACCACAGAATGCTCCGTGACTCGGCTCGTTTTTCAAAAGCCTCATTAAATAAACGGGCCCAAAGCCATATTTGGAAATCTTAATCTAAGGAATAGTAGGGCGGGTCTTGGCTAAAGAACACATACTCTTTCATTTTCTGAAATTTTTATTGAGTGAATTTCAAGATATCGATAACCTCGATCTTGAATGTAAACTTGATCAACAAAAACAAGCTCTTTGGGACCAGTTGTTACTGGACTTTTGAGAAAAGGGGCATGTTATGGTACCCTCGATCGCATTTGCGTCTTCTCTGATTGGCTGTTGGGATTGCTATCGTTTTGATTCGCTACCTTCAAGCGAAATTACTCTTGGTTTTCGGTGATTTTCAATAGCAGAATGTGCTTGAGGCGGTCCATGTAACTTTGTGATCGATAAATGTGTCCTCACATAAACCTCGCCAACAAAGGATTTACTGTATGTTATTATAGAAAATCCCTCATACGTTGTGCGAATTGGATATCGTTATTTTTCACAGGCTCTGCAAGTAGTCACTAACGCTCTCAGGCGCCATGTCGAAAATGCAGAACTTCATTATTATCAGGGAAATTTTTTCAAGGATTTAAACAACATGCAACAAGCCAAGAAGGTAAGAACGAGAAACTTTTCCAGTTAAATGTGAGTTGTGATTGGTTAGGTTAAATCCCTTGAGGTAAGTAAGTCATGTCGTGCGTCATATCGTGCGATCTTTTTTTGAGTTGTGATTGGTTAGGTTAAGTCCCTTGGGGTAAGTAGGTCATGTCTTGCGATCTTTTTTTTGAAATAGAGCTACAAGAAAGCTGTCCAGCTGGACCCACAACTTTTCAGTGCTCATTTGAATCTTGGAGTCATATTCCACCTTGAGGTTAGTGCCGGGTTATTCCAGCTCGTGTTGCGTTTATTTTGTATAATATTTAAAAGAAACTGCTATTTTTATTTCTCTGACCCTGTTAACTATGTGCTGATAGAAGGCAAGTTCATCAGTTAATTAAAACACGAGGTTAGAATAAGAACTCTTTGATAAGTTCACTCTGTTGGATTTTTTTTGTCCGTTCGTTTCATCCTTTTCTGGTAGCTGGGGAAAAAAATTAGAAAAATCGAAATACCTTTTTCCCAATGAGAAAGAATGATAAATGAATGAAGTAATGATTAAATTCACAGTAGGTAATGGTGACAATCAGTCTCAGTTCATTTGATAGTTGAAATTAGATGTGACCAGTAGTGCTTCAAAAACAACTATAGTTACATTTCCTCATAGGGAAATCGAGCAGAGGCCAGGCTTCATTATGAGATCGCAGCGAAGCTGGATCCAGGCAACACAATCTTGAAGGAGAATCTGGCGAAGCTGCAACGACTAGAGAAGAAACATAGGCAGTGACTACGGACTGTTGTATTGAGGGTGTATGTATAAATCAACTCCCTACAATTTTCCTTTGAAACGAAATATGCAAAAAGTGGAAACTGAAGAACTGAACATTCACACACCTGTCATTTAAGAGAAAATGCTTCTTGTTTTAAATTTACGTGTTTCTAGACTTTCTATTGCTCGATTCAGCGTTTCGATTCCCTAAACTCGGAGAGTACCCAAATTGCAACGTTTATGATGGCGGGATTTTGTGGTTCAGGGAAAAATCTGCTCCATAAGGGCCCGCTTATGAAGACCAATGAACTTTACAGGTACGAACCATGTAAATCGTGTAATGTCTTATATCGCTTTTTTCTCGCAACAATCCATAATTAGTGGGATTTTCAAAACCAAATCCACTGATTTGGAACGCTATTCATTTCCTTCTTCATTGTCAAGGCATGTCTATTTGTGCAAAGTAAAGTAGCCTTAGCAGTGGATCTGGAGGACAATTTGAACTCAAGTATAAAAGCGCTGGTTGCTAACGGTTATAACAACTTTTGCGCCAAAGAAGATTCAATTTCATAACATTTTGTGCTACTTTCGAGCATATATTTGGGGTTTATTCCTTTCGCCCCCTAGGGATTAAGCGAAAACTTAAAATACTTTGGATTCTTGGATAACGTTTTGAACCTGTTAATCTGTAAAAGTTTGAAAGAAATCGGTGAGATGGCATGTGATACAAATGGCTTGGTTCTCTCGTGGACAGACTCTTACCGGGTGGCTTATCCATCAAAGTTTAATTACTGGAGTTATTTCCAAAAGAACAATTGCTGAACAGGTTCAACAACTGTTACTGGATGTCTGAAACATACCATTTAGTAAAAACCCTATTAGTGCCAGAAAGAAAAGTGGATAAGTACTTTACATAACTACCAAACTTAGAGAAATTGCTGTGATGAACAAGAACTGCCATAATTTTGATGGATCTCAACGTTAAGTTCAGGTTTAATTCAGACGCTGTTTTTAATTAAAGGAACAATTGCCATTTATCACAACGACAGCTGTTACTCGAAGAGGCGATTTCTATATCTATGACAAAAGATTTAGTACCAAACCTGCTTGATTTAATTAAACTGCTAGTAAATAAACATTGACTGCAATTGCGCTAGTTAACATAACATTTCAATTTAATTTAAGAAATGAAGTGATCTTAATTAGTGACACTGTCGTGTTAATTGTGAAAACCAACATGAAAACATTTAAAAACAAAAGTACGTTTAGAATTGTTGATAAAGAATATACCAACTGCTTGCAGAATGTCCAGATTTCTTATCTACAGAAGCTATATGGTTGCGTTTGGGATGAAAGAGCTTAATGCATCAGCATCGAATTTTTTGCAGTGTAATCGGCTACGCAAATGTAATACGCAATTCTAATCTCACCTCCTTATCACCAGGCCACGCCGTTTCCACGAGGTGTGTCGTCGAGGCTATGTCTTCTAGTTCTAAGAGCGCTGTACTTAATTGTGCTTTCAATGTAGCCTCTTAACTATATATTTTTACTTGAAATTCACATGACAAAGGAGGCTTTTTTAGTGTTGTTGACTTGCACAGTCGAGAACGTCTTCCAGTCGAATCTCTTTCACCCTTCTTTGACACGTTAAGTCGGTTTTAACATGAACTTAGTAGCCACCCCCTCTTTCTCCAACAAAGGGATAGCAGTGAAGGGAAGTTAGCTTTTACATATTCAGTAAGGTAGCTCTTTAATCAAATTTGATTTCATGAAAATGAATGACTGCTTTTCCCATATGCATCTTGACCAATCTTCCTCTGCGTTTTAGTAGTCATCCACATCAATGCTTGCAAGGAGGGTACTGGATCTATCGAGATTTGTGGTTCCGCCCAACTATACATGTACTAAGAATAGCTGGGGTATATCTATATAAAGCAAAACCTAAAAAATGTCAGTAATGCCGCAGAATTATTTCAACAGAACTTCAAACGAATGGCTGTACACACCTGGTTGTGTGTATCTGGCTCAGAGTACAGGCACCTGGCTAAAATGACTGATAAGAGCTAAGTTATTTCAGCCATTGCTGCACGACCAAGTGCTTTTTCGTTTTTCAATTAACTTAGTTTTCCAACCTTAGTTACAAATTATTTACCCATAGATTCCCAAATATAGACTTCATGCAGAGATCTATGCCACTGCTGGGGTTATTCAACAGAAAGCTAGAGAAAGCCAATTTTGCCAAAAAATGACTGAGGAAGCGCTTAACAAAGGAACACCAGTTCACGCGCTGTCGCTTCTTTGCTTTTTATAAAACTTTATTAGTTTTGCGGCAGAGTCAAAGGGATCTAACACAATAAGCAATTAAACACAAGGCCTCGGGGCTATCAAACGCTGGGGTATTGTAAACATTGCACAATGGGTGGCGGGCAATTGTTTTTAAAGGTCGCCGGGTCTCGATTGAGGGCCACAATTAATAGATCAAATTGATTGACGCCAATTTATACCTATTTATTACACTGCGGCATAATGAAGCTTGGTTTATGCAGCATTTAAGAAAACCGCAGGTTTTAGTAAGATACGTAGCCCCTAAGGGAGAACTCACTAATAGAAAAGCCGCTCGTACAATATTTGTTCGGAAAGTTGTGCGTCAGAGTTTCACGATTCTCTAACGCACGCCATTATAAACTTTGATTGCGGTTTTTGCATGTGTGTATACCTTACGCGACTGGGTGTATTATGTCTTACACTTAAAAAGCTCTTAAGATTTAACAGTGCGAGATCAACTTTCCACTAAGAGAAAATACACTTAATCACTATAGAATTCATTATCTCTGCACGGTTTAATAAAAAAGTTTAGACAAACAGCGATTGACAAAGGCAAACAATATTCTTAACCACTTATTTTGGCCAACACGTCAATGGGGTCTATTTACTTTTCTCTTAACGAGTGTTAGCGAGTTTGTTTTGCTAACTCTCCGACGGAGGTGCAGTTAAAAGCCACACTGAGTTCTTTCAAATGGGAAAGAGATCGGTGTAGGTGACTGGGATTTTCACGGTCCCTGAATTTCGGAGATGATTTCAGGCAGCACAGGCCAATTTGCGACATGATCGTTGTGATTGTCGGGACGTTTTACCGGCAAAAGTCTTTTAAGAATCATTTCGTAGAAAGGACAGACCGTAACCGCAGACGTGTTATATCAAAAGGAAGGAAATAAAGTGTCTTAAAGTCTTGAAGAAGACCTTCTCGGTACATTTTATGGAACAAAAACTAAGATAAATTAATGAGCTGAAAGAAGTGGGATGTATGAAAAACACCACAAAGCATAATTTTTTTAAAAATATGAACACGTGTTTAGTTGGCAAACAAAACCAGCCTTTTTAGAAAACACAGCTGATATTTCCGCTGTAACAATCAGGTGCCATGATTTAACGAAGCACAAGGCGTTTTTTATTGTATGTTTATGTAGCAACAGTTTTTCACACCAGTCAAATAACGTTAAAGAATAGAAGCATGAAAAGGAGTGTTTTAGCAAAGCAATGTGATTCATTAGGTTAACAAGAGAGAACTAAACAGCAACAACATGGCTTGTAACATTTCCCAAGTTGATGAACACGTTTCTAGTCTTAAGTGTAGAAATATGGCGTAAATTGTATCTAAATCCACAGCCGGTGAGATTGGAGCGGAAACAATCAAGCGTAGGGACGGGTGCGGGTAATAGTCAACGAGTTAAGTCCCTAAATTATTCTAAGCTTTTGTATGTTTTTTCATTAAATGTATTTACCTAGCTCTCAAAGACTTATTTAATTAAACTGTTTGACGCGACTAATTCCCTCTTTACTTGAGGCGCAGTGATAGCCGACGCACGAATCAACACAGCACTTGGGCGTGTGAATAATGGCTTATTTTCCTTTTATGTTTGCCGACGGCTTACCTTGACTCGAGATATAAAAAGTTTAATCGACTACACCATTCACTTTATTTATCTAAGTCGTTCAGGGGTTAAAAACTTTTTTCCAAGACATAGTAGTTTATTAATGCCTCGAGAGATCTTTCGTAAACTAGGTGAAGTACATCCCAGACATCAAGGTGCAATGTTTGCTCTTCTCTTCGAAGGCAACAAAATCAAATGGGATTTCTCAGATATTAACAAATAGCTGCTTTAATAGTTGTTGTGTTTAAACGCTTAAGAAAAAAGCCCGACTTAATCAGGTATTTGCACAGAGTAGGTTCAAAAGCAAACATATGCATTCTCGATTAATCGAAAATCTATACCTTTGTCGTAAGCGAAAGACCTGTTGTGAGTCACGCTGCTTCGAAGCTTTTCGTGAAACCAAAAGAACAGGTACTTCGCTAAATTTTTATGAAGGCGGTGTGAATCTCGAGGAAACGTTATTCCATTAATGGTGATAAAAACCACTTTTGTACAAGACTTTACTGTCTGGATGGGTTTGAAATTCTCATTTGTCGCCGTAATAAGTATATGTTTGACATTATGTGTGATTTGCTAAAGTGAGTCTCAGCGAGGAAAAACACGAAGTTAGTCGTTTTTATCTCTTATTTGTTTTTATTTAAGAACTATGCTACGTGCCAAAATGAAGTATGATATTTTTCGACTTATATCAGACAAACTGCTGGAACATGTGATAGTCTATGTTTAGAAAACGAGAGGTACTATTAGGAAACGTAACCTCTTCTTTTAATTAAATATTTATTCTTTTGGAATTTTGTTTATACTTAACCACTTGATCAATGATAGATTACATTGTTATTGAAGTATAGAAGACAAAAGATATATATAACCTAGCTCAGTTGATACAGCATCCTCCGTCTGCATCCAGCTGGAAAACGACGAGGTTTTTTAGCTAACCCAAATATGATGGTGTCGTTGAACGCATAGCCCTGCGGCAGGAAAATTATTTTTTTGTCTTGAAATTTTTGTGTGCATTTGAGAAAATTTTATTCTCTTTGGGAAATATTTACGTTTCAAGTCCTCCACCTTTGTTCTTGATCTCGAGCTTTGCGCACATAAGTCAATCGATTTCACAAACTTGTAGAAAAGTTAAAATACGTGTTTTCCATACATGTATTTATGTCCATCATTCTTAAAAAGCTGCTTAGATTGAGCAATGAAATCTAGCCAAATAAAAGGGCAACATAAAGCTTTAACCACTAGATAATTGTAACATGATGATTCTCCCATATGGAGAGGAAGTTGAATTCTTTTAGAAAATTCTGTTGTCATTATCTTTGACTAAAACTATAGGAATGGACATGTAACATACTCACAAAGGGTATTACAACTTACTAACTTAGATAACAGAAAAGAGTATGTTCCTTCCACTAAAAACTTGATGGGTGTCAGTAATCAGTAGTAGAGGAGATTAAGAATCGTAACTGCTAAGTTTAATGAAGAGTTCTGTTGGACTTGCTTTCACAGCTGAGGCACAATATTTTTTTTCTCTGACACCGTAGACAGTGTATAGCTCTGAACTTACAAGGGACAGTTGAGAAAGTAAACAGGCGGTTTTAAGGTGCGCCCATGCTTTGTTGCTGTAAGAAGTGTAAGATCGCCGATTGTTTTGCACCGTTAACTTTCGTGGAGTAAGTTTCGTTTTAAACACTCGTTATAAGTGGCGCAAGTGCCAGGTATCCATGCAGTGATTTTACAATTAATTTGAAACTATCTGAGGTTAAATTGGTCTTTGTGAATGGCTTGTATTGGACAGAGTACGTATTTCATGAACTATAAAGGGCATGTTACTTTCTTACTCTTCTCTCTAACCCACCCTTTACGTCTATACTCCGACGGAAAAAAACCTTGTTTGGTTTAAGACTTGATTTCTCTCTTAATCCTGCAATACTCTTTACCTTCCAAAGAGTATAAACGTCAGCAATGTTCATAAACTAGGAGAAGTAGATTTCCTCTGTGTAGACTTGAAGAGCCATGAACCAACAATAAGGGATTTATGCGACGAAGAGATCTTAAGGTCTCTTCAGTCCAAGTTCAGTACATAGATAGCTGTGAGTCAGGACAAGTCATCATCCGAAAGGATTGCTGTAACATCAGCGGAATCAGTTCATACTCACCCCGCTCACCCGCTATTGTTAATCTGATTTCTGCCTCGTTGTTCCATGAGTGGAAGGAGGCGTTATTTTGTTGGCAAATGCAACTGATAACACTGCACCACTAGTGCAGAGCTTCTCGTAAGTTGTTAGTGTTCTCTCGCAAACATCTCAGGAGTAAATTAGAATTCGTCAAACAAGAGAACTGAGCAGTACTTTGTCCCCTTGAAGGCGCCAGTATAACCTTAATATCGACCACAAAATAAGTTTCGTAGCTTCAGGCTTGGAAGATAACATCTTCACGACAGCCTCGTTAATCTTGTCCTTTGAAATCGGCTTTTATTGTTTGGTATCACTCTCACCGCACTAGGTTATTAAAGATGTCGTGATATACTTATCGCTTCGAGATAGAAAGAAAGTTACCACCTCTAAACGGACAGAGATGTTCCAAAAATGAGATTCATTCAGAGGTGATTGCATGCTCGTCAGAAGATCCACTCAGAGTTGTTTCTGATAACTTTGTGGGTTAATCAGAGAGATAATATACTTTTCCTGATATTTCTAAAACTGACTAGAACAAAACACAAGTGAAGTTAAAGCAAACAGAAATTCAGATTTGCAATTTATTGTAAAGTATCATGATCGGTGTTCAAAGAACAATGCTTGAGGATTCATTTACGAAGTAACAATGGAAGCATAGATTCATGACCCAACAAAGAACTTTTTTCTAGTCCATGTGCTTTCAAATCAAACACTTCTGGATTAAACAGACTCGAAAGATTTTCAATTTACTGTAGCCAAAGTAGATCATTCATGTCACGCTTAGATTCTATCCCAAAGCTCTAGCTGCCTAGCTCTCGACCGAATGGTTGGAAATCTGTTTGAAAGTGAATCTTATTAGTTTCGGCTAGATATGAGAGGAAAAGGAAAGGACCGATGATGTTTGTATAATTTTAACGTAACTCATCTCTGTCAGTGTCAAAAGCCTATTTTTAGCTTAGCAGCTTTATCATGTTCAGTTTTAAAGTTCACACTAAATGGTTGAACTAAATGATCCAGTTTCCTTTTTCTTTTAATTCAACCGACAAAGCTTTGACAATACGGCGATTAAACTAGGAAAGGAACTTGAAGAGGATCTTTATTAGGCATGGGGACTAAAGTGAATAGATACGAAGTATGCGCGCCTTGAAAACAAGATTTGTCAACACCCTTTGCCTGAAATTATTTTGAAAATATCGAAATGAAGTTACGTTTGAATGTCAAGGTTTTTCTTTGAAAGTGATTGATAACTTGCGTAATTTTCCACCAGGTGAACTTTGAAGGAGACCTTGTATAATGAAGGCTTTTCCGCTCTAAATCTTTTTCAAACAAAGCCGACATCGGGAAGTGGTCGTAAATTCAATATTTGCTGAGAATTACAAATCTTTTGTACGAAGAAAATAAGTAATGTCGTGGTGAGTTTGATCATTTTGTCGCTCTAACACAGTGTGGTCAAATTGGGTCGTAATGGATCAACAAAGGAGGCGGTTCATTGTAGCATTCAAAGCAAAATTTTTTGCCAATTAGCAAAACAAATTTTCACAGAAGGACTGAACACTTTGTTTGAGCCAAAGATGATTCTGTGGTAGATATATCTTATTTTTAGCTACTGCTTTACAAGTTTCTCTGTACCTTATTAAACAAACATTTGAAGTCCTCGGCGATTTCCCTTCGACAACGACGACCGACGCTGCCGTACTGAAATCAGTTCATGAAATGTGAAAACAGCTGTCTGCAGAAAACTTTTTCCAATCCAGTTTTATTCATGGAATGTTCTCAGTTTCCAACATAACTGGCCAAAAAAGCTATTTACTAAGCTTCTCCTTCATAACAATTTAAGAAAAAGGTACATTTTGAGTTAAACATTCTTTTGGTTTGTAACTTAATTTCTCAACTTGCTTGGAAACATTCATTGCAATTTCGTTTGTAAATGATACTTCAAGAGGTCGATTATTTTACATTCGCTTTTGTACAGTATTTACAGTTCAGAAATTTGACTTACGATAATATTTTAACAGCTCCCTCTGTTCCTAGTTTCCGCCTCGAACAATCGGCATTGATTTAATCAAGAAAAATTCAGACTTAAACATGAAAACTTGAACGCATGCGACTGCTTCGAAATAAAACAAAATTTTCGAATATCCTTGGAATTCATATATATAAATACTATGATTAGATAAAAAAAAAAACCCACTTTAATTTATAGAGAGCTTTGGAGCAGACTGCAATTGGATAAGAAATTGGTTTGGTACTCGGCACAATGGCTTTGCAGTTTATAATTCCACAGTCCAAGTTAATTTCTTTCCCTCCTCGCGGAAGAGTGCCACGAGCATAGTTGAACGATCATGTCACACATCATACCGATTTCAAACAAAGATAAATCTGATTTCCTTTGGAGCAGATTTCGTGGATTGTTTTTTTTTTTTTTTTTTTTTTTCAAGTTTCAGTGGTAGAAGTGTGTCACATCTTTGATGCAGTTCAGTAGTTCTTATTGATTCGGCCAGCTTTGCTTTTTCTACATGTGTCCATAGGTCGGATGCGGTCTGATAATGCACGGAAGAGCATGAGCTGTGCTCGGTTGATAGTGTGGATAGTGGTGCATTTGCGTAGGGCACTGTGATGTACACAGAATTCCGGTTCCGTAGCCAGCCAAAGATGGTGCGTGGGGCAAAGTCGTAGGCCGTGGTGGAGCAGTTACATCAACTCCAGGATTTTGCTTCTTCCATTTTGTGCGTCGGTTTTGAAACCAAATTTTTACTTGTGTCTCCGTTAGGCTTAGGGAGAGAGCCAAGTTCAGTCTTTCACAAACAGACAGGTATCTAGTACTCTTAAACTTGTTTTCTAGAGCAACGAGTTGTTCGTACGTGAAAGCAGTTCGTGCTCGTCGTGGTTTTCCTTCCTTTGATCTGTCGGAGCCGCTTCGCTTTCTCTTTGATTTGGACCCCGATGTCGACTTGCATTCTTCGTTCTCTTGATGATTAGATGAATCGTGTTCGTTCTTGTCCTTTTCCATACATTTGTCAGATTCTGTGGATTTAAAGTTTTATTTCTAATGAGCGACGAGTAATCGTCTGCAATTTAGATAACATATTGCATAGAATTGGTTAACTGATCGTTCCAGAGGAAATAATCGAGCAAGATCAATGTAGCCTGCTTATTTAGGTGAGGAGAATTATAAACATTAAGTGAAAGAAAGCGACAGTGAAACCAGACATACTTCACCATAACGTTTTATACCGAATTGATTGCTTCTGTGGCAGACCTTTTAAGCTAAATGGTTGTTAATGTGAACCCAGTGGTCAGAAGAGAGAATAAATGAAACGATGCCGGCTATCATTTGAATGACCAACATTTCCTCTTAATCGCTTTTAGGCGTGTTGCACGGCGAGAAAAATAAATCAAAACCTCCGCAGTTAAGATAAAAAATATTTTATAGCTGCAACTCAATGATTTTATTCAAATAAATAGAACCAAATAGGGAGAAGTATTGCTCAAAAGAGTGGATCGCTTTATGACAATCGATCTCTTACCGCTTGAGGTTTGTGAACGCTTAAATCTGGTCGCCGCCATCCATGGATGCCATGATGAATTATTTCTTGATTCTCCTCTACTAGGGCTTTCGCTGTCTGAATCACTCTCACTTGGCCTTCGCCTCGGAGCATTAAACTTGTGCGGGTCCAAAATATCTTTCACTGTAAAAGATGTCACTGCATGTCTTGTCTCTGGAGCAGATTCGTCCTCTGGACCAGAAATATCGTGTGCATCCTCTCCGTCACTACTCAGGCTCCCTCTGCTCCTGTTATCAATGAGAGAATTGATAGAAAACCGATCACTTCCTTGCATCCTGGATTCCGAAAAGTACTGCGCTTGTTTAACGCACGGCGGCGACTTGTTTTGCGCCGTTCGCTTCTGAACGCGGACCGTGTTACGAAACCTTTGGTAACGCTATTGGGGGTGGATTAAATTCGGTGTCTGTACTATAGTGATGTGCCGCGGTACAATAGAAGTCACCGTCGGTCGACGAGGTTGTTTTGATTGCTGTGTGCACGCATAATTGTCATCCAAATTAATTGAATGATTTGACAACCTCAAGTGGCGATGAGTTGTGATAGCGATTAGCACCTAATGCTCACTTAAGGGAAAAATCTACTTCAGGGTAATTGTTCTGGTGAAACATGAAACCAAACTTTAGAGGGGGAAAGGGAGTTTGTCGGAAAAATCATCTCAAGAAACCAAATGCAAAACTTCTTAGTCTAGAGCTTAAGGAGGGGTCGGTTGAACAAAGGCACACATTTTGAGAAAGAGAACCACTCATTGGTTCGTGTTCATTGACTGACGCACTGAGCAAGACTGCTGTGATCTTGCCGACAAAATGACTCGCTAAAGAAACATTCAGATTTCCGTACTTGCAAATTGACGAATGGCGAATCCATAATCGTCTGTCGCAAGGAAACGAGTAATCTCGCCCATCTTTTAACATATGAACGGATTCTTCTAATGAAAAGTGAATTTTCGAAACGCCTTATCTTCCCTGAAGGGAAAGTTATGAGCATGTAAGTGCCCAAATATTTTGCCTTGTTTACAGTTAGAAACAGAATGAACGGAGAGGCGTATGGATTTGTTTTGGTCTTATTTGTGTTATATTTTACCTGCTGCTACTTAAAGATAAACTTCGCTGTTGCTTGGCTTTTAAAAAAAGAACTTGTATTACCAAAAAAAAGCACAGCATCATAATTACAGTTCAATCAGCAAACGCTTTATCAATCTCTCAAATGTCTTATAACCAATTTGTTTTGTTAATTTTATTCTGTGGAACACTTATAAGAGAAAAATTCAAAGCATGGGGCTTATTGAAGCAATGTTTAAAATAAAAATCGCCATGGGTCCAAGTTAGAGGTAAAGAGACGCCTCTTCAAGTCTTAAATGTCAAAATGACTACCATTTTAGATTCGTTCCCAAAGCGAAGAGCCGCTGTTTATGTTGTGCGTTCCCAATGTAATTAGTAGGTATCCAAATCTTATCAGCGAAAAGTTCTCTGAAATAATCATCAGGGCCTGCCATTTGCCGAACGCGCTTTCTCCTGTGATAAGGCGGTAAATGTTTTACCGAGTTAACAACAATGCTAATAACCAGGCCAATTAAGAACAATCTGCAAACCTCAGAGGAGATACTATCTAAAAAATTTCTTTCCTTGTGTGGCGCTCGCTCTAACAGTGGTGTTGGTTTTAGATGTGTGACGTTAATGAGGTTGCCTGTGTCGGTACTTGTGATTTAAACCGCACAAGAGCTCAATAGCCTCTTAAACAATGAAGTATTATACAATTCAAATATTATGAATCAATTGTATAAATACCGCCATTGTGGTTTCGGAGAGGGCAACTTTAAGAGTTTCGGAAATCTGGAAGTGCGGTTGACGGGAAGGCGGCAAGAATTGCTGCTTTGGAGTTATTGTTTCGCTCAGCAAATTATCTTTATTTTAAATAATTACTAAGGGAGACATGGAACTTTTCTGATCCATGAAGTTTCCGCTATCTCTTTTTTTTGTTAACATTTCTACGTTGTTGGTCTTCCATGTGGCAGAAGCGCGGTTCAGTAGTTTGCATTGTTATCCTCAAAGGAAGCGTTTGTAAAGAAGTTATTATTCGAAAACAAGTACAGGAAATTAAATCATTAAAATGAAAGGCTATGGAGCAGAAACGCTACCTTAGCCCGAAGCAAAAACACTCACCGCAGAGCGAAACCTCGTAATGAAGAATAAACTTAAATGCGGGGTCTGAAACTTGTGATATACAGCACGTGTCTATGGAGACATGAAAACCGAAAACTAGGGACTAGAAACCGAAGAAAAATGCAAATAAACACAAGGCTATTTGTTCAAGTTGCAACCACGACAAAAAACCTTCGCAGTTCATCAAATATTGTCTGCTTTTATGAATTCAAAATTGGCGAGCCCAAACAACGCCAGCTGGAGGTTGAAATAAGTAAATAAACTCGTGTGAAGTAAGAAAACAATGCAGTCGGTTGTAAATGTCCACTCGCCAGGGAATACTGAAGGAAAATACGGATGTTATTGACTCGAGCTCATGAGAACGTGCGAAATTTCATGATCTGTTCCCACGACAGTTTTGCATTCGTTCTTTATTGGTTGGAAAACTTAGAAAACAAACATGAATGAAATATACTCAAAACATTAATTACCCTTTTACTTAAATGTAAACAAATACGCTAAACAAGAAAGGTTTCTTTACATCGAGAATATTTATAATTGTTAAGTAATACTAGTATAGCTTTAATTAAGTTGTGTGTGTGTTTTTAGTTTTAATTGTTCGTGTACACACGTTTTCCTTTATCGTTTGCAGATGGAGACAGGATTCCTTACGCACTGCTTCTGAGCTTAAGAGAAGTACTTTAAATGCAATAGTATCTTTTATACGCTTATTAATCGATCTTCGTTGATATAAAGTTCTCAGATATGTGCACAATTTCAAGGTCATTAAAACTGTTTAAGATTCTACTTCAACCTCAACACGAAACCGACAACCTAAATAGGAAATCCACTGATTACTGAAAGCGACATGCAAAAACACTTCTAGAAAATGCTGAGACATGATAATCAAAATACTGTTATGGGGAGAGTGAGGGAAATTAAAAAAAAATACTTATATATATAAGACAAAAATGATCACACGGTAAAGACATGACTAAGACTTGATTTTATCGGATTAAAATGTGATAAATTATGCGGAATTTTAAACACTACGAAATATTAATTCAGCCTTGACCATTTAAATCATTCTAAGGCCAAAGAAAACCGTATTTCCTCAGGTTTTGAAGGCAATAATACTGAGCACAATTTATTTGGTTTTAAGTGGGAGGACCGAACAAAATCAAAAGACCAACAAAAGCAATCAAGAGGAAATAATGAAAATATAATCTCCTGAAGAAACATATAAATTTTTTTACTTATAGTGTTTTGCCGGGTTTTTAAAAAGGCCATTAACGGTCTAGGTTAAATGTCATATTTGAATGGGTCTAACCTGTAGTTTTACGTAACATTAAGCTAATACCACACAAAATGTTCGCTCCCACATGCGCTTTTAAACAAGATAAAAGAATTAAATCTAAATTTAACGCTCAATCCTTACGGAATGGCACTGAACCCATGTCCATCGTGAACAACTGCATGATCCCAACTTGTATTTTTTCTAAGCGAATATCACAATTTTAGCCCAACGGTCGGTCTGTTTAGCTCTGTTACTCCAAAGATCTCATTAGTAATTAGTAATTTTTTTCTCTGTAATTATTTTTCTCTATTCTCATCTCTTGCCTGCTTGATATTGTATTGATATTATAGGGAGAAATTCTTTATTGGTCACCCTTGGGAGTGAAAAGATTAAATTTCATGCCCTAGACTGAGGCTGTACAGTCACAAGTCCTGATCAGTTTACCAAGTCAAGGAAGAAAGGCGAGTTGCTATATGAAAACGTTCCTTTGATCTCCTTGTATTCTGAAATTTGAGGAAATTACTGGAAACGAAATTGAAAACACAGTACGACCAAATTAAGGCATGTCCGCTCTCAGCTGCTCAGCTAATTCGGCGAAACAGTGAAGCAAAAAATTTCCCTCCCAAATTCCTTCATTTTGTTGGGGTTTCAAGATCAGTGCATATGCATTAAATATCATCCTTGTCATTATTGCGTGTTTTTCATCTTCCATTTTATTAAGACACACTGAAGTGTACCCAAGCGTGTTACTGGTTCCGAACTTAGCCTCAACCAAAAACAAAAATGGACAAAGTGGAAAGAAAAGGGCTTTGTGACATCTATGTAGCCCTGCTTGAGCTATAATGTAACTCTGCGTTCCTATCAACTCGAAAGTTTCCTTTCCAGCTCACTAAGCTTTCGCAAGGCTGTTGGCAAAATTTGGAACGAGGAGCGAGTCTTATCTTAAGTTGCGTGTGTTTCTGACATAACAAACATTTTACTTTATCTCAATAATTAAATATTAATCAAGGAAAAGGTTTAAGGTGTACTTTTAATGAGAGAAGTAGCAGTTAAGCTTTATGCTCGTCTTGTTGCTTATTCAAGAGCTAAAAATGAAGATTGCTACATCAAGAATAATATTTTCACGGTGGCAATAAGTGACAGCAGTTTCAAGGGGTTACCTTTAAGGTAGAGAGTTACTACTGCAAACAGATTTCTATCGGTCAACTCAATACCGTAAGAAATTAACCTGTTAAAGTTGCCGAACATCATGATTGCGATGAGGGGAATTAAATAAATATAATTGCCTCTAATCATTTTTCGTTCTAAGAGGGGAGCAGTTAAATAAAAGAGGACCTCAAAAAATGTAATTACCTGAGTGCCACCAAGGTTTCTTCTGGGTTATGATTCTCCATCACACCTTACTGATCCGTGAGTTTTCAACTTTCACGTTTGTTACGAGTGAAAAGACCTCGTCGTATATCTAAGCCCTTAGTGAGTTATGATAAACTCCCACAAAGCTGGCCCTCGTATTATATACTATTATACGTATTGTTACTTTTCAATCAAATATCCTCTGTCCCACTCGGATGTAATTCCTATTTCCTAGTTTTGTTTTTAAAGCTTTTTGAAAGGACTGCCGGCAAGTGATGGTTAATATATACCAGTTGATAACATAGTTATTAAACTCGCTCTCGGAGTGGTGAATCGGCACGAGGCTTATTACATTGTCAATAACAGACAAAAAAGCTTTTCATAATCACATCCTTGTTTTCACAAATGTTCCCTTAAAAGAAAGTACAATTATTCAATGGAAGTACATCTTAGCTGCGTTATTTTGAATTCCGGTACCTTTAATTTCGTTTATCACATAGTTTGCTTCCTTTAAATGTTTTATGCAAACTCAAAAGCTATTGATATTGGTCGTTGTTTACCTTTCAGATATTGAATACGCCATTGTGGTGCTATAACACCTTCTCAAAACACAGTCATGTTAAAGTCATAATCATACCCTCATAAATGAAGTTCTCGTTTTTTGTGTTCTACGCGAAATAATGATTCATTACCTCTCTTGATTAACTCATTTCAAAGTTAAGATTCTAACAAAAGTGAACCCCACCAATCGGAAATTTTCTCAACATTTGCCTGACAGCTCTTGAAAGCTTCTTTTTTTTTTTTTTTTTTAAGAAAATGGAAACTTAATTATAAATTCCCTTCAAGTTAAATTCATTAAATTTTGACGAGAAAAGTAATAGATCTAATAAAGCTGTGATGTTAGTATATGGGTTGTTCTCATTGTCAAAAGTTATTATTTGAGGAATGATCGCTTATTGATAAAGAGACATCTTCCAATGTGCCACTTTCCGTGTAGATTTCGCCTTGTTTTGTTTATCACAATGAATCGTGACTGGAATTAGATAATGGAAAACTCCGTTAAGTTGCTAAAAGCTTTTTCCATCTGCCATTAAAACCAAGTTCAATTTGTTTATAAATTTTAGAATATAGCGGTTTTGGTTTTTCCATATAAAGCCGAATGCGGTATTCTCTAACAATATGATTTTAAATGGAGTAGTGTCTTTCAAATTCTTTTTCAAAGATGCATCGAAAATCTTATTTTAGAACGTTTTGCAATTCATGTTCCGTTATCAAGTTACAACAAAAATCTGTGAAAGTGACATTGACAACAGATTTTTGAAGGATAATGATAGAATTGTGTTTGTACTTCGCAGTGTTGGCTTCTCTGCCAATACATATTTTAAAGTGGGTGAAATCTTACACGATTTCCTTCTTCGTAGACATTCCGTAATTTTGGATTCACTCTTTACACTTCTACCTTACTTATCGCCTCGTGCTATGAATTGAACGATTAATAAATCAATTAAAACTAAACGCATGGAAAAAACTTCACTCGAGTGAATTTTGTTTTTTATTGAAGAGTTGCAGCTGTTATTGAGGAACCCGAAGTCGATCAAACACAGGTAAAAATTGTAAAATTGTATATAAAATTGTGTATGGTCAACTTAACAGCTCCTAACCCCTTCCATTAATAGTATTTTTTGGCTTTTAGGCACCTTAACATCTTTTGTAAAAGATAACAGAAAATTTACTTAAAGTGAAAATAATATAAATTAAATCAGCAAACATATTTTATTAAATGAGATAAATTTATATTTTTTTAGCCGTAGTGCATTAGTAAAATTAATATCTTTTATCCCCGGCATTTTAGCAGAGCATATATAT